GCTGGGTCAGTCAGTATGAAGAAATATCATAAATACTTGTTCAAAAGTATACAAAAGAAAATTTCAACAGTTGCATCAAGAGATTTATAGATAGCTAACAGTTAAAAATGGTTGTATAGTAATTGTCAGGAATATGCATAAGAAAAAAAACAAATAAGACAATCTTGATTAGTGATTATTCAGGTACTTAAGTATGTGAAATAAGAGCAATTAGTTATCTGGAAATTCTTCCATTTCTTGTTGTATAAGGTATTTTCAGAGTATGTTATGGGAAAATGTTACTGGTACTTGTTTTTGAAATGTGCCTGTTCTTACAGGTATGGAAGTGACCTTCAGGTATTAACAGGCAGTGGGCTTGTGAAAGAAAATCTCATAAATCTGTTGAAGTTTACGCAGTCAACCATACTCTTGTCAACAGCAGAGAAATGCGACTGGTTTACCATGGTTTTGTTTCTTGTGTTTGGTGGAAATCCTGACAGGTGAGTTGGCTAACTAGAAAATTTGTTGAACCCATTGCTGATGAGAACATGTACTGATCTATCATCATTAGTGACCTAATGATTTTTATAATATAATGTTATTAACAATACTTTGAGCAATAATAATAATAATAATAAAAAAACAACGGAAAATCAAGGAAAAGTGTCAACAGATGAGATAGATAGTACTAAGAGCCGACTCCTTGGCAATGAATCACCTTTGAAACCACAATGAATAAAACTCACTGTGGGCATGGCCTTTATGGACTTGCCATCCTCAGCAGCACTGAGATAATAATTATTGGCATGTTACATATTTTTGTTGTAGTGTTTGGAGTACATTTTGATTAAGCTTACAATTTTATTGACATTACTTTTCTTTTTTGTAAATTGTGCAGTCTGGTAAAATGCTATTTAGTAATTCTAATGATTTCATATTATATAATTTATACATTACCTCTCATTTTTGGAACATGTTATTATTAACCCACTGTTATTTGATAGATTTGTTTGATCAATTATTCTGTTATCAGAGTTTTTATCTGAAAACAATCGTTTCAGATGCCAATCAGTCCTCCTAAACATGAGTGGCCTTCTTATAGGGGGCATCATGTGGCCTTCCTTTGCTGACTCACTGATGGCTTCTCATGAACTTCTTCCTGGAGAAGTCACTCTGGCCGGGATCATACACAATGTTCAGCTGGTAATGAGCATCGAGCTCCCAATCCTCTTCATGTCAATACAGGCAAGTTGTTTTTGAGGTGATGGTGATGTATGAAAGCATCTTTTTATTTGAGTCATGTTTATTAAATAGAAAAATTACTGAAAATGAAAATGAGGGCATTTTATACATTCAGAAGCCGTGCACCAAAATACAGTTGAACAATAAAGTGTAGTTTTTATTTGTATTTGGATAAATGTAGAAGCAGTCTCAGGATCAGGAAATGTAGATATGCCAGAATCTGGGGTCATCTTTGTAGTGTTGAACCCTATGCTTCAGTATGGCTCTAGATGTCCTTGAAGTAGAAACCAAAGCCTAAGCAAAATCAGATGGAACTTTTCCATGGTAAGCCTTCACTCTCAGTTACCAACGTAACTCTTTGCTACATATACAGGTCATAGGCCATGCAATTGAGTGTGTCATATAAAACATGATTTGAGATACAGTAGATACTGGAAACCTTGAATAGCAATATGATACAGTGTGTGTTGGATCATTGAAGTTTCTAAGAAAATTTTGGCTGTGGTTCTTTTGAACTTTGTCTCCAGGCATATTTAGTAAGTTATGAAGTAAAGTTAATCAGCTGTAGTTCAGTAAACTAAATTTAAATCGATTTTTGTTTACTATGCTGAAGTTAGAAAATATTTTGTTGACAGAATATGGATTATTTGGAGTGTATTAGGGCAAACAAGGGGATCAGCTGTAATTCAGTTAATTTAGCAATTCATGTTTAGCCATTCTCCAGGTTTTGATATTTCAATGTTAATTCAAGTTGATCAGAATGAAAGAAGTTGTTGGGGTGTTACAAGCAGTCATGGAAGTTAAAAAAAGAAAATGAAAGCATGACAAAAATCTGGCACTCAGTGTGCTCATTACATATCTGTATCATTACATAAATGTGGTGTCATTGATTATGATATTGTAATAATATTTGTGATGTAATTTTTCAGCAGTTATTAGGAAAATATCCACAGTTGTAGTTAAAGTATATTACAAAGGAATTCAACATGGCACATTATGAGCACGAAGAATGAAGATAATTTGATTTCAAATAGTATAGATGCAAAAAGACATGTTGTGGGAGATCATGTTAATTTGTAACACTTTAACATATCTTGTCACTGTCAAGACAAGTAATCAGATATCATATTAGTGTTTGTATCATTTAGGAATAAATTTCATCCATGGGTTTCAAAATGTGTAACCAAAACACACAACCAGTTCACTGTGAAAGATGAGTTGTAAAAGTAAAAAATATATAAAAATTTGATATTCAGTTTCCATATTCATCCTCACAGAAAAGTGCCACCTGCCTTTGGAGTGTTGTAGGCGAGTGGGTGCGGTGTATATTCCTCGGAGTTTTGACTTGGAATGAAATCTGCCACTATCTCCTGCTGGTGTTACTCCAAGGTCCTGATTATGCTGTTTACTTTGTAGTAGCTCTCCTCAGGCATATTCAGAGTGTGATCAACAAGCATGCAGGTTCACCTAAGGCACTTATTGTTTTGCAGGTAAGATTATGTGAAATTAATGTAGATGATGAAATGCTTCAGTGATTGTGGCATTATAAAATACACAGGTGTAGAAAAGATCGTACTAACAAATGTGATCAATTTGTTGTTTTATGAATGTGCTCGCATTGTTTTTTTATTTGACATTTTAAGGATAATTTTTAAAGCACATTCTAATCTTATTGTATGTCTAGACCAATGATATTCACTACTCTGAATTTTGTGTTTTAAGTGTTATATGATAGGAGTAAAGAAATAGTAATCAATCATTGTTCTATATGAAATATGTTGTCCTCAGGTATTAAGATTTTCTGCTATGCTTGATGAAAAATCAGATTTGATTTTTCAGTGAAATAAATACTTTCTTTATTCTGTAGACTGTATCAATAAATGGATGGCGTGCTGGTGATCACCTCAATTTCATGGAGGTGCTGTCTCGTCGTCACAGAAGAACAGTCCTGCCAGCTCTCTTGACACCCTTTAGTAAACTACGCCATCAGTACACCCCAAGACAGCTGTAGTATGCATGTGCAGTTATATATATATTTATGTATAGATATATATATTCATATGCTTTTCATAGAGTATATAAGGTGTCGTTGGTATTTCAGGGGTATTGGTAACATAAAATGATTTGCCCCAATATTTCTTATAAAACATATCAACAAAAAAATCTGTATTTTCACTATTTGTTGAACTGGCACCATTATAATATTAAAAACATTATATAAATCTTGGACTGTATTAGGAAGAAAACAACAACAAAAGTAAGAGCTGTTCCTGTAATTCACAGTGAATTTGAACATTTTGTCATTGAATTACTATCCAAGTAAATCTGAAGATATGTTTTTTTCTAGTCATGCAGATAAAGAAGAGTGATAATACAGTGAGTTGTATGTTAATTTAATTTATAGAAGAGGGTTATTTGTGTGTTAGGCTATCTATTTTTTGCTGGAACATTAAAATGCATTTCTGTAATAGGAAAAGTATATTTTGTATATCTTGTGATCGTATTTAAATTGCATAAACATAAATCAGATCTGCCACAGAAGTTTTTAACCTTTTTAGAGTCATCGACCCCTTTAAGAATCCAATGAAAGCTGTGGACCCCCTTCCCTGGAAATATTCACACAAACACTACTTTGCATGCAGTTTGTATAATGTAGCTACTTTATTAATTGAGATTTGATTGTCGCATGCATACAGGAGATACACAAAGCATTGATAAACTTTAAAGTAAACAATCTAAATAAATATGCTGATACAAATGTTAATTTTTATCTGATTCTCACAGACCCTCTGGAAACAGGCCATGACCCCAGGTTAAGAACCCCCTGTGCTAGATGGTATTTGCTCTTGAAAAGTGTTTGTTATTTTCTGTGATAAAAGTACATCCGTCCATATAAAATGTAGTTCTTTCAAAGAAGTGCCCATACACATTTAATGAATTACAGGTTAGTGATACTTGTCTTTTAACTAATTCTAGTCATGTTATTACAGTCATCTATTTCTTATACTCTGAGAAAAAATGTAATTTTGTCCAATTGTAGAAGCACATATTGCTGATGAATATAAAGACAAAGAAAGCTTATATTTGTTTTTCTAGTCCCTTCAGTTACAGATGAAAATTTAATAGTGATTATACTTGCTACAATATGATAAAAGTGATAAGGACTCGAGATAACAGTATTAATAAATGCATCAACAACAATACCAAGAATGATACTAATAATGAAATCAATAATGAGTATGCACCTCAGGTTCATAATAACCATCATCCATTTTGATAGCATGTATTTCTTACATTTTACAATTTTGGAAAATTTCTTTGTGTGTGTGTGTGTGTGTGTGTGTGTGTGTGTGTGTGTGTGTGTGTGTGAGTGTGAGTGTGTGTGAGTGTGAAAGTGTGAGTGTGAGTGATTATGTGTGCATGTGAGTGTGTGTGTGTGAGTGTGAGTGTGAGTGTGAGTGTGAGTGTGATTGAGTGTGAGTGTGTGTGAATGTGAGTGTAAATGTGAGTGTGAGTGTGAGTGTGTGTATGTGTGTATGTGTGTGTGTATTTATATACATACATTATCACATTTATATATAATGGAATATATATATATATATATATATATATATATATATATATATATATATATATATATATATATATATATATATATATATTATATATATATATATATATATATATATATATATATATATATTATATATATATATATATATATATATATATATATATATATATATATATATATATATATATATATATATATATATATA